TCAATACTACAAAAATTCAATTCAAATTAGGCAGGTGAAATTTCATGGTGAGCCATCTTCTGGATCAAAATTCACCTAAAACTTTCAACATTTTGCAGCTATACACGCAGGATTTGAATCCTATAAATCAATGCTACAAAAATTCTATTCAAATTAGGCAGGTGAAATTTCATGGTGAGCCATTCTCTGGATCAAAATTCACCTAAAAAATTCTACATTTTGCAGCTATACACGCAGGATTTGAATCCTTAAAATCAATGCTACAAAAATTCAATTCAAATTAGGCTGAAGTATCAGTGCAATGTCCTCATTGCTGCGGGTAATAGTGATTAATAAAGCTCAGCTTTTACAAAACCAACCAAATAAAGACTGGCGCAACCTGAATGCCAATTAATTTAAGTCCTAAACTTTGACGGTTTGACCACATGAATAATACTTAGAATTTTATCTTCATTTGCATCTAAGAAACATATACGGCTTAACGGACAAGAGATAAATTAGGGCAGAGAAACGAATTACCAGAGAGAAGACGGAAGCTAATCGGAGGAAGGAGCAGAGAGCATCTCCACGAGCTTCTTGTCCCGCCTTTCCATCGCTACATCCCACACGTCATTCCCGATGTGCTTAGGCTGTAACGTTTACCGATCACATAAATCAGCAAATAAATAAACAAATCAAGCAGAATTAAATTCAAATGAACAATCTTCGGATGAAGAAAAAACAATAGAAGGAAGAGAAGAATTGCAAAATGTAATGAAGAAAAGTACCCGGCCATGGTAGGCTTTGTGGACAAAGTATTGGATATTGCCGGCAACGCAAAGCATACCGGCGATAATTCCCAACGGCAGCGCCGCCTCCAACCAAACAAGCGCCATTTCCTCAGCCTTCGGTTTCCCCCCTCGAGTTTTCCAGTACCAGTTCGAAAACGCACAGCAAATCAGCAGAGACGAATTGAGACAGTGGAGATTGGAGAAGAAGATGCTTTCAGAGTTTCGATTTGGTTTTTCAAAAAAAAAGTAGTTCCGATTTGGTTTTCTGAAGATTGGGCTTTACTATTGGGCCAATTGACTGTGGGCTGTAGCCCAAATTTACTTCTTTCCACTTTTTTTTTTTTTTTCTCTGGGTCTAACTTTCTTGGGACGTTATGCCATGGAACCGTGTTCACCATTCATGGTGAACACGGTTCCAACGGTGTTAGTACACTATTATATTCTTTTTTTTTTTAATTAATTGCGTGACTTTTCTTCTTTATTTTCACATTTTGCGGTTTCACTTTAATTTGAGGTGAACAAAGATTTCGGACATTCATAAATTATGAATTCATACCTGCACATTCACTTTGGAACCATGCCTACACATTCCCGTCCGAAATCACGGACATTCATAAATTATGAATCCATGCCTGCACATTCACTTTGGAACCATGCCTACATATTCACTTTGGAACCATGAGATTATGAATTTTCTGTTATAAGATTATGAATTTTCTGTTATGAGATTATAAATTTTCAGTTATGAGATTATGAATTTTCTGTTATGCGATTATGAATTTTCTGTTATAAGATTATGAATTTTCATTACATTCATAATTTCGGACATTCATAAATTATGAATTCATGCCTGCACATTCACTTTGGAACCATGCCTACATATTCCCGTCCGAAATCACGGACATTCATAAATTATGAATCCATGCCTGCACATTCACTTTGGAACCATGCCTACACATTCACTTTGGAACCATGAGATTATGAATTTTCTGTTATAAGATTATGAATTTTCTGTTATGAGATTATGAATTTTCAGTTGTGAGATTATGAATTTTCTGTTATGCGATTATAAATTTTCTGTTATGAGATTATGAATTTTCATAAAATTCATAATCTCATAACAGAAAATTCATAATTTGATCAAACGACGCGTCGTTAACTCTACATCCGCGATTTTTTTTTTTTTTGCCTAAAAACGACGTCGTTTTGCCCTGTGTTCACCGTTCTCGGTGAACACGATTCCATGGCATAATTTGCGAAGAAAGTTCGCAAATTATGCAGTGGACTCATGTCCACAATGTATTGTAGACACAAGTTCAAAACGATGTCGTTTTCAGGAAAAATGCGTCATTTCAATTTTAAAAAAAATTATTTGATTTTGTCTCGCCGTTAACGGCGTTATTCGTTTGTGCCATTATGAATGTACAGTTATGGAATTATGAATGTACAGTTATGGAATTATGAATGTAAGTTATAAAATTATGAACATAGAGCTCTGACATTATGAACTTATAATTATGAACATATAGTGATAAAATTATGAACATAGAGCTCTAAAATTGTGAACATAGAGCTTCGAAAATTATGAAGTTACAGTTATTGAATTATGAATGTACAGTTACAGAATTATGAATGTACAGTTATGGAAGTATGAATGTACAGTTATGGAATTATGAACATAGAGCTCTGACATTATGAACTTACAATTATGAACATATAGTAATAAAATTATGAACATATACTCCTATAAAGAAGCGGTCTGAAATTATTTAAAAAAAAAAAAAAGATAAATTGTTACCCACGTCCAGCATGCATGCTGGACACGAGTCCATAGCATAACGATTGCCAAAAGGCTGAATCCCCAACCTAAGGGCCCCCCACACTTCGACCCGACAGAGCATGTGGGAGGATACTTATTTTGTTTTCTTATTTCAATTAATAGACGTTAACTTACACTATATATAATATTACTAGTATTTTTTTTATGTGTAAAAATATATGTCCAATATTACTACTCTATATTAAATATCTTAGATTTATTTAAATTTTAGATATTTATATTATTGTATAATAATAATAACAATTGTTATTATTATTATTATAATTTAAATCATTTTTATATATAAATTTGATATTTATATTTTAGGAAACTATTATAATAATAATAATAATAATAATAATAATAATAATAATAATAATAATAATAATAATGGAAACATTTTTTATAAATTTAATATTTATATTTTGAGAAATAACTTATATAGTACTCCAATATATAATAAAAATATTTAGGGAGAAATGTCAAATATGCCCATCTACTACTGTCAAGTGCTCGGTTCTTACCACGAACTAAATTAAAGGCTAATAATCACACTTACCTGTTAAATTTGTTCAATTGATTTTTTTTTTTTTTTTGCAGGTTGGTAACAGGTTACCAATTCAATTATTAAAAAATAATTTTTCACCGACTGTCCGGCGAGGACAGCCATTGGCGGAGTATTTTAACAGACAGTCGTGGCTGTCCGGTTGTCTGTGAAATACTCAGCAAACCGGCTGTCCGGCGAGGACAGCCGGTGACTGAAATTCTGTTTTTTTTTAAATTATTTTTAAATTATTTTTTTAATAATTGAATTAGTAACCTGTTAGCAACTTGCAAAAAAATCAATTACCTGCAAAAAAAAAAAAAAAAAAAAAAGTCAATTAAACAAATTTAGCAGGTAAGTATGGTTAATTAGCCTTTAATTTAGTTCGTGGTGGAAAGTGAGCATTTGATAGATGAGCTTATTTGACACTTCGCCCAACTATTTATGGTGTTGCAAGTATTTCTTTTTCACATTTCTATACAAGTTGATGAGGGGACAATAAGAATAATCGCACTTAAGAAATTATTGAACTTTTTATCAAAAAAAAAAAAACAAATTTGAAAAAAAAAATAACAAAAAAACAAAAAAAAAAAAAAAAAAAAACAAAAGGAGAGTGGTCGCTAGTTGGTGACCACTCTTAACATTCCCACTTGGATTTGTTGGTGTGTGAAACATGCACTAATTAATTTGTGTCCCCCCCCTACCCCCCCCCCCCCCCCCCGGCGCTGGACTTAAAAAAAAATCATAGCCCATTCAATTTTAAGAATAAGCGTTATGCTGTGCAACCGTGTGCACCATGCAAAAACGACGCCGTTTTGACGTTCAAATTTTTTTTTTTTTTTTTTTAAATCAGTTTCGATTGCCGTTAATGACGTTATGTTGTGCATAATTTGAACTATACATTCATAACTTCATAACTATGCATTCAGAATTGCATAACTACACATCTATAATTTCATAACTATACATGCAGAATTACATAACTACACATCCATTAACTTCATAATTATACATTCAAAATTGCATAACTACCCATCCATAACTTCATAACTATACACTCAGAATTGCATAACTACACATCCATTAACTTCATAACTATACATTCAGAATTGTATAACTACACATCCATAACTTCATAACTATACATTCAGAATTGTATAACTACACATTCATAACTTCATAGCTATACATTCAGAATTGCATGCATAACTACACATCCATAACTTAATAACTATACATTCAGAATTGCATAACTACACATCCATAACTTCATAACTATACATTCAGAATTGCATAACTACACATCAATAACTTCATAACTATACATTCAGAATGTGAAATTATAACTTCCTAACTATACATTCAGAATTACATGCATAACTACACATCCATAACTGCATAACTATACATTCAGAATTACATAACTACACATCTATAACTGCATAACTATACATTCAAAATGTGAAATTATAAAATTATGAACGTATGTTTACGTAACTAACAGCAATCAAAAATGTTTTATTTTTTTTTCTTTAAGTAAAACGACGTCGTTTTTGCAACCGTGTGCACCATGCATGGTGCACACGATTGCACATCATAATTTGCCATTTAAGAAATTGTTTTATGTGTTAACAAACTTTCATTTTTCATTCTATATATTTTCTATTTGAAAAACTTGTTTACTAACACTCATTTTTTTCAATTTTATTTTTTAGACTAAAGTTATAAAATTAACACAAATGTAATTTTGAGTGATTTTTATACCTTACCTTTAAAATATATTTTGATATGTTTGGTTTAAATGGAATAAATATAATTTTTACTTTTAAATCTAATATATGTAAGATTTTTACATTTGATATATGAACCAAATATATATCTGTATATAACATAACTAAAAATATATCCAAACCAATAACACATTAAGTTCACATAAAATTTAGTTTAGATAATTAATATTTTTTGAGCTAATATTTAAAATATTTTTGGATATATTTATTTCAATAAATTCTATATATATAATTTTTACTTTGAAGTTTAATATAACTTAAATTTCAATATCCAATATACATACTAAACTTGTATTACGATATACCATAACTTAAAATATCCAAACAAATAATCTATTGAGTTCAATCAAAGTCTAAAATTTAGTGTAGATATCAAGTTTTAATTAATTGTGATAATGTGAATAAAGTCTAATTTTAAACGTAAGTAAATAAGTTATGTTTATATATGGGTAAATGTGAGTATAAAAGATAGAATATAGTAATAAGTAAAATAAGATGATAATAATTGTGGCCATAGTACAATAAATAAATATGTAAGTAGATAATGGTGAGAATGCGGTTATATTCATATATAGTTAAATAGATGATAGATGACTCAATTTTTCATTAAAAAAAAAAAACAAACAAACAAACAAATTTTAGAAGTTGTTCAATTTTATAGAAAACTATAGAAAACGATGGGGCAAATGTACGTTTAATGAATAATGCAAGTTGCCGATTAACAATGGAGGTTATGTCCTAATCACGCAATTAATTAAAGATTAAAACGCCCTCCAATCTCAAGACAAAGATTCTGGAATCCGCTTTTGTTGTTTCTAAATGGGTTAATATGGAGATCGGCCAGAAAAATTGAGTTGGACAAACCCTAAATTAAAACACATTTCACCAACAACAGCAAAACTCCAAAAGCAGTGACAAATACGGCGCCGCTGCCGGAGGACCAGCCGGCATTTAGGTGTAAGGCATATACTGCGCCGTAAAATTCTCCGGTAAATTAAACTTTGTTCGGTGGTCGGACATGGCGCTACGTGTTCGTATACGGGAAATTAAACGACATGGTAGGACCGTAGTTGAAACACAAAACGACAGGTCTTTCACGCGTAATATGTGTATATGCCAGTTTGGTATATATATAATTATAATTATTATTATTTGTCTTATACGGAGTAATAAATTGTTATTGATTGAGATCAATAAATATTTAGATCAAACTAAAGATTTGATGTTTATTGTTTTTAAGAAAATTATATAATTATATAATGTCGAATAATAACAATGTGTATACGGATGATATATGGCGAGTCTCTTCCAATTTAATTAGAGATATCAAACATCAGGAATATAATCGATATTGGCGATATGGCGGGTCACTGGATCTCGATTTTCCCCCGGATGTACTGAAAATATTTATGGAGTATCGTCGAAACCCTAACGACCTGTTATTATACGCAACTAACCAATTTATTAATTTCAATGCACTAAATTGACATATTAATGTATTTAATTGTAATTTTTAAAAGTTTGAGAATCGTATAAAATTCAAGTCTTGTATTTAACCATATTTCCATTAAAAATAGGAAGGGATGTGGACCACACTGTCAGTCTAATTGTTATACCATGGACCATGATTTATATTGCATTGTGAACTATGATACAAAAATTATGTATCTTCAATTAATATATTTTGTACCTACAGTTAATCGTTTCTGTACATGTAAACAAATAACTTGATAATTGCTGACTATAATATGATAGCTACAGGTACAGAAATTATCCACTGCATGTACGTAATGTGTCAACTATAGATACAAAATCTGACTTGATAATTACTGACACATAATATGATAATTACATGTACAAAAACTATCAACTACATATACAAAATATGTTAACTATAGATATAAAATTTGAAAGTTATTTTTAGATTATAGTCTACAATGGTAGTGATCCATGTTATAATTTGCTCTGTCAGTCCAGCTTAGATATGGTTGGCACATATCAATGACCATTGGCCGCATGCACCCAACATACAACGATACAAGTGGGCCCCGTTCCCACGGGAAATAAAGGTTTGCATGCATGACGTGGAAAAAAATCTTATTTATTTGAATGGATATTTTCGTCAAAAGAAAAGTCAATGAAAATGATCCAAGCTTACCTTTCTTCAATTATACTAATTCGTAATTACACACAAAAAGGATAGACATGGCATCATCCAACCCAAGATATTCATCTTAAACTTATCCAAATACTTTAACTACTTGTGGTTGGAATAAAAGAAATAAATTTACAATTTTTTGAATTATAATACGGTATTTAAATTATATTCTCTTAATGTGTATCTCTAACAAAACACAAGATACAACTTAACAGAGCACGCGATATTATAATTCACAAAATTAAACGATTTTTTTTTAATGTCTTGAGTTTAAATATTGTGAGCAAGATAATGTAGGAATTCCAAATACCTATAGTACATGTAGAAAAATTTAATTGTAATTTATAAACCCCGATATGATTATTGAATAATAAGGGGTCTAATCAAAGTACTTAAAGAAAAAATATGTATATCAATGACAATTTTTAAAATCAAAATGGTGGAATATACTCAGAACTGTCACACAAACATTGATGTTGCATAATAATTCTTCTTGCCCAAGAAACACACCCATATAATCGATCTTCTGTCACAATCACGTCATTCTCACTAGGTGGCTCTAATATAACCCACATAACCAATCAACCACTATTTGTCTTGAAAAGTCATATTAACAAGGCAATCTCCCTTCTATCTAAATGACATAATTTGTAACATCTATTTATTTTTTAATTTTTGTTGGTATTCGTTAACTATTTGTAAATTGATTTATCTTATTATACATTAATTAATTACACCATTACCTGGTGTGAAATTTATTGCAAATAAGTAAAAATGGATGCTCAAATCGTTGTTGTATAATTCTAGTACTTAAAAGTCACGACGAATTTGATTCTTGCCAATATCCAATTGATTAAGCCAATAAAATATAATGTTCCTAGTACAGTTTATCTCTCATGTGTAGTTTATAAGTTATAATACAATAATAAAATTTAATTAATACGCACCAATGATTACAGGTTTCTTTTGTAAAAAAAAAAAAAAATAGTGCAAATATAAATTAAGTTTTGTTTTTATAAATCATGTAAAAAAGTAATTGCATCACTATAAATGGCATTGTTGAGTGGGCCCATTGATGTTAAGGTGGTCCCTGGGAGAGGAAGCCTCCATTGTCTTTTATTATATGGTGTGAATGAACATGGCTGCTCAATTGCTTTGCCTCTTGTTGTCAGCTGCCAGGTAAACACATGAATCTTCTAGATCATTTGAAGGAGAGTATTTGTGGGTCCCAAAACTCCATTGTCACTTCATGCCACCTTTTAATTCTCTTTATATTCATTCATTCATTCTGGGCATTCTCTCCCAAGTCCCAACTGTTCATTCTCAGACTCAACTACAATGTTTGGGCAAATTGAGTGGAGGACTTTCAAGTCTAAAAAAAATATTAGTAATTTCTACTATGCCAATCGACACTGGTTTCTTTTGTACCAAGTATAATTATATGTACAGTTTTGAATTATAATATGTATCATTAACACTTGTCCTGTAGCTACTAATTCAATCTGGACGTGATTTCGCTCACAAAAGGCGAAATTCCTCGTCTTAAAGGTTCCCACACTCTGACTTGATAGGATTATAGATGAATAAGTTATGGTGATTTAACAGCTCATTAAGTGAAAAGACTAGTGGTTGGTGTCTGGTGTCCATAAGAGAGTAACACTGCGACTGTCAGTCTGTCACTGAGCTACTTGTGCGGGCAACGTGTAAGTGATGTGCTACCTTTTCTAATAGATCTTGGTTGGCTTCCTGTGGAAAGTGCAATCTACAAAAGATCACTCAAACTCAATGCAGCCACTTCAAAAGCAGAAAAGCACTGGATTTTACCTGAGGCTCAAGCCTATAAGTGGATGAAAGAAACATGTGCACCCTGTAGAAGCAAAATGCAGGGCTTAAGGGTAACCCCAGCTAAGATGACTAAGGATATAAACTTGTAACTATAAGGTCACAAGTTCGAATCCCAGCCTTCTTGATTTAAGCCGGTCAGTTATGGACAACCTAGGCTGGTTAGGGTTTCCCTCGTCACCCCCCAAAATGCTGGGCTTTTAACTTCTGCTCTTGCAGTGTGGTTTATAGAGTCTGTTTGCAAGATCAAAATTCTATAGGGGACCAATTGGGGTAACAAAATTAAAACGAGGTTTTCACCTGTACTGCATTGTACTCTACAGCTACTAAAAGAGAAAAATTTCCTCGTATTGATATGGAGAAAATCTTTAAATCCGATCCTAACGTCTTTCAGGCACTCTTTTTGGACAAAAACAGACTGTTACCGACTTGCAGATGGCCATTACCTTATGAAGTTATGATGCTCAGAAGCTTAGAGGAGACCAAAACGCAAAGTAAAGACGAAAGGGATATTGAGGGTGTTTGACATTTGACACGGATTGGGTGATCGAAGACCGTTTTAAACAGAACATTTTACAATCAACATGTTCGGGTGAGGCAAAAACAAGACACGAGGTAGTCACACATAAAGATATGTATTTGACAAACGCAATTCTCGGTCTGAGCATGACAACCAGATTGATCTTATGTGAGACTTCAAGTCTTCAACCAAGAAAGACAGAAAGTTGCATATGAATTAAAAATTTGTTTGACACTTCTTTTATTTATCAAATGACCAAATGCCTAGCTAGAAGAGTTTTCATCTGAAAGTTGTTTAGTTACAGACTAACATAGAGTAATAATTCCAAAAGATATACGAGGACCTAAAACCAGTTCATTTAACATTTTAACCATGGGAGACATTCAACTAGAGCTTCATACTTTGACCCTCTTCAATGTCCTTCCAAAATGAACTAATCGGTTCTATTACCTTAGCCTAAAAATGTTTCAAAACAAACCTTATTTACACACTCGGAGGTCTATTCTACGATTTGCACCCCTTCCCTCCTTTGCAAACGAACAATGTTGAAGAAACCAATAAAGGAAGGCTGATGTCAGACTATCCTAAAACAATAAGCCACAATAAATGTTTTAAACTTATTTAAACTAAAGAAACATCCTGCTCGTTAATGCAAAACAAAGTCGATCCCTTTGGGATAGAGATTAAAGTGTTGTAATATCGATGTTTGATTGAAGATAAATCCTTCTTGCAAAAAGCCAGTCCTAATACAATCCCAAGCTCAAATCAAACAGCTAATGATAGGTATTCCATCTTAAACCTAAGCATTAAATCCCATTACTCTCCTGCTAAAACTAAAAAAAGTTCAATTAGAATCACAAGAAAACACCAGTGCCCTTAACCGATTGCAGTTGCTAAAGCTCAGATGCCATGAAAAAGATGAAATCCACTAAGTAGAGACCTTAAGAAAAGGAAAAAAATGTCAAATAGGTCTTAAGATCATTGAACTTAAAAAGTGTGCAACAAACCATCAAAAAAGGAAACTATATGCAATTGGGGCATTTTTCCTTTTTTTTTTTTTTTTTTTTTTTTTTTTGCATTAGAATCCGATCATATTGCTTACATGATATGTATTATGAGTCGCCCTTTCATCTTCCATACTAGTTGTGTGGAAAGATTGAAATGTTTTCAACTCAAATTGCATTAAGAGAAATCCAACAAATATCTCAATTGCATACTTTTTAAGTTCAATGACCCAATTACACAAATGCAATAAGTTTAGTAGCCTATTTGATACTTTTTCCTAAGAAAAGTCCTAAACTTTAAGCACATGAACTCCAGAGTGCCATTTGCAGAGCAAAAACTTAACCAGTAAAGATATAACTATATAAGTTAGGCCAATAAAGTGAAGAAAGGCAAAAGGGACCAACCAGAACTCCAGAAGGAGCAGACTATCTCCATGAACATGGTCCCGCTTTCCAAACACTTTCCGATCACATATAAATTTTTCGAAATTATGAAGAACAAACTGAAAGGAACAATCTTTGATTGAACAAGAACACAGCAAGAAAACAAGACCCAGAAAATGGAAAAGGAAAGAATAGTAATTACCCGGCGATATAGAATTTCAGGGTGGTTCTAAACATTGCTAGCATTCCGGCGATTTCCCGACCGGCAACGTTCGCCGGAGACTATGGTTTGGGAGGTTACGTGACGTCTGCTTCCGCCGCCGCGGCGCCGCCACTGTGTTTCACAGGTGCAGCTTGCTTTTTACCGTGAGCAGGAGTACGAGAAGAGCATCAAAAGTTATCATATTCTACTGTTAAAGGCGGACAGAACTACAGAAGTGGACAGCGCAGGGAATATATATATAATTTCACTCGTATATTTTTTCTCTAGGGAGTATTATTAGGATATTCTTCTTACCTAATAATATAGTATATATTTTAATTATTTAATTTTCGAATATACGACAATTCTAAATTTCTAACAGTCAAAAAAGAGATTTTTGCTTCCTTTTTCAAATTTCACAGACCCTTTTCGACTCTTCTCTTTCCTTTTTATTTAAACCCTTTACAAGGGTTCCCTCTGTCTCTCTCTCTCTCTCTATCTCTCTCGTTTTTTCTTTTCTTTTTATTTTTTCTTCAGCTGCTGCTGCGGCTAAACCCTAGGACTGAGGGGACCCTTTCATTTCAATACTCATTTCTATAACCCAGTCGGTGCTCTGTATAGCCATGTCAGGATATAATCCGAACTTCTCACCTGCAAGATCTGTGTCTCCACAGATTAGGAGTACCCTTGATGTGGACAGGTATAATCAGAACTCATGGTTTTTGAATTCTTGTTTTGTTGGTGTTCTTGTTCTGCTAGCAAGTAGTATGTTCTTTTGGTTTTTTGAATTGGATTTTGTTGTGCTATGGTGTGGTTGGGTTTTGATCGATGTGGGGTGTTTGTTTTGGTCGGACTTTTTCTTAGTAATCAGTACTTGTCAGAGCTGTTGGCGGAGCATCAAAAGCTTGGACCTTTCACTCAAGTTCTTCCCATATGTACCAGGCTGTTGAATCAAGGTAACATTTTTAGCTACTAATTCTTTGGTTCCATGTTTTGGATCTAGTTTTTCTGGGTTTGAAGTACAGTTGGCATTGATTGGCATTAGATTTTGTAACTTAGATCTAAACCCAATTGATTTTATGCTGGTGACCCCCCTTGGATGCCATTTCAATCTGTTCTTGACTCTTTTATTATACTAATCCACTCACCTCACTCCCCTTTGTCTCATTTTAGGATATATTTGCTTCCTGTGCTATTATTATGATTTCAATTTATTGAATAATGTCAATTTCTTATGCAAATGAAATTAACTTGCTGTGCCTATGATGGGTATGAATGGAATTCCTCGTGATCAGGGTGTAAAAGTGCTTTTAGAAAACTGTACAGATCAAACATGTTTAGCTTTTTCGACATGAGTTGCAATTTGTCAGCAAGGAGATATGAATGGTATCAATGGAATGGCCTTTTCTAACTTGACATTTAGTAGCTGGTTGGCAATTATGTCTTCTCAGCCTGTACTGTGAATTGAAGCTATATATGTTCTTTCTATGTGAAATGTTATCTTCTTGGCCTTTGAAAAGTGTGGCCAGTTGATAGTCTGACTCGGGTTCTTAAAACATTCCATTTCTGGCAAGTGAGAAGTGGGGTAATAGAAAGGGAAAAGTCTTGTTGTAGGTGATATAGTTGATTTCCATTGGGTTGGCAGTTGGGATTCTTGAAAGTAGTTTATCTGTTGCTTTCCCTGGAAAAGAGAGTTTCTGAACTCAAAGTATTGGCTTCGCTGTATTAAAAGTACTTGTAGAATGTTATCTAACTACTCTATTTTGATATCAGTTACCATAAACCATAAATATTCGAATACCTTTTGATTTTGTTCAGAGATCTTGAGGGTATCTGGAATGTTGCCGAACCAAGGTTTTGGTGAGCTAGATAGACTGAGACATAGAAGCCCCAGTCCTATGGCTTCCACAAATCTAATGTCAAATGTTGCTGGAGCAGGATTGGGTGGTTGGAATGGACTTCCTCAGGAGGTATTTGTCGTGCTAATCTAATTTCTCACTTCTAATTCAGGATTGTGGCCTCTTCGTTTTGGTGCATAAACCTTTAACCGTGTTGCCTATTCTTTTATTGGCTGGGTATAATGTTGTATGGACCGCTACTTCCCCTGTTTCCTTTCAAGAGGAACCATTAGATATTTGCTTAACGTAATTGATACTTAATCCATTGCCATTTGTTTTCATGTTCTTGTTGAATGGTGTTTCTCACTTAACGGTCTTATTATTCTTGGTTTTCCTCTTGCTATTTCTTTCTGTCTTTTATCCTTTATGGGAGACGAAAAGTGAACGAGATTCCTCAATATGTTGCAGAGGTTAAGTGGTCCCCCTGGAATGTCGATGGATTGGCAAGGGGCGCCAGCAAGCCCTAGTTCATATACTGTGAAAAAGATATTGCGTTTAGAAATCCCAGTTGATACTTATCCAAACGTAAGTTTCTACTTGTTTATGTATCCTCTTTTCTCACTTCGTTCGGGAAGGGAAATCATTGATCGATTACTAAAGTATTTTGTGGATTATAGTTCAATTTTGTAGGACGACTTCTTGGCCCCAGAGGAAATTCACTGAAACGTGTGGAAGCCACTACAGGGTGCCGTGTATATATCCGAGGAAAAGGTTCTATTAAAGACCCAGACAAGGTAATCCTAAAGTCTTGGTTGTATCATTTAAGAGTTGTTCGACTGTTTTTTACTGTACTCTTACTTCGATAAAGAAGATGTTTTATGAAGTTTCTTTCGACTGGACTAGATAATGAAATTCTAAACTCTATGCCTGGAAATCACCAGGAAGAAAAATTACGGGGGAGACCAGGATACGAGCATCTGAACGAACCACTCCACATTTTGATCGAGGCTGATTTACCTGCCAACGTTATTGATATTAGACTCAGACAGGCACAAGAGATTATCGAAGAATTGCTCAAGCCTGTGGTAATTTTTACCTTATAGTTACTCCCCTTGTATTTGACCTTTTCTTTCCAACTTCAGAGAATTTAAAGTGTGACCCCTACTCATGCTAGTTTTGGTAAGGAATGCGATGAAATGGTCGGTTTACTTGAAAGTAGTGTTTAATGGGCACCATACAACTTTCTTAATAATCCTTATTGCATCACCCCCGTCCCCTCCAATTATATATATGATGCTATGACTCTTTGTATGACAAGATTTACCTAGCACATTGTACGGGTAAATCCCTGCCTAGGCGCCGCTCGGCTGCGGCAAGGAAGGCCGGAATTGGCCTCCTCCGCGGTCGGGCGGCTAGCCGGCCAAACCGGCGGTTTTTTTTTTTTTTTTTTAGGGTTTAGGTTAAAATTTTTGCGAAGGCATAACTTTTTACTCGGTTGTCCGTTTTGGACAATTTTTTTCCAAATCGCGTATTTTTTCGAGATCTACCCACCAATTTCTCAAAAAAATGTTTCGTTTGTTCTTAATTTAGTTTTTTTATGTATTTAGATGGTTTCAACAATATTTTAAACAATTTTATAGCCACTTAAATAAATAGTTTGTAAGAAAAAACTATGAGAACCTTATGTTTTATTAGTGAATTTTGATAATTTTTATTTTTTTTTTTACATTTAAAAAAATTTAAAAAAAAAAAAAATCGGCGCCTAGCCCCCGAAAAATCGGCGCCCTAGGAGCTAGGCGCCCCCTCGGCACCTAGGGGGCGCCTAACGTGTTTTGCAACCTTGGTTTTACATAACGTTGTGTTTGCAGGACGAGTCACAGGACTACATAAAGCGACAACAATTGCGTGAGTTAGCCATGCTGAATTCAAATTTAAGGGAAGAGAGCCCCGGGCCAAGTGGCAGCGTGTCACCTTTCAATACTAGTGGAATGAAACGTCCCAAGACTGGCCATTATAAATGTTGATGAAACCTGCCATCATCGATACATCATACATGAAGAGGAGGTTCTGTTTCTGATTTACATAGTCATGGCTGGCTATTATACCTTTCGGTTCACCGCTTATTTGCACTGTTACCTGAAACCAAGAATATATTACGAGAAACATACCAAGTGGTGGGGGGCCCTTGCGTGTGGGATTTTCCAGTGGGCTTTTACTTCTCTTTACATCTCAAATAGCATAAAACAATGGGAGTACAGAGGAAGGGACATAAGTTGTTTTTTTTTTTTTATACAGTTGCCTTAATTTATAAGGTTGGTCGTGCGAGTTGGAGTTTCGTGTGGGTTCTTGTGGAACTTCATTCTTTGGATTTATTTGTCATGTTAGTAAATTGTAGTGTGAAATATGCTAGCAAAATTACTATTATTATTGTTATTAGTTCATTGTAGAGGGTTAGTGGGTTTGAAAGCTTGTAGCTAATACCTTTTGCCTTGTCCATTATTTTGTTAGTGAACTGAACAATGATGATTAATATTTGTTGCTTTAATTTCCTCAGACCTTAGCTCTATTCTTTTGTTTGTTTTTCTCAGATCACATTGTATAATGTTCTTTTTTATTTACCTTAATATCACTTGCTTGAGGGGTGAAGCTGTGTAATGTTGTGTTGGATTGAATTGAATTTTTCAAAATCAAATAGTTGATATTTTTTTTTTTTTGAAATGCTATCCGAGTCAGAAATGTCTCCATTGAGGTTTGATCTCATGACCTCACACATGAAAGAAGTTACTACACGTCATATGAGCACAAAGTGCTTGACAGTTGATAGTTTAGATATAGTGGAATTAAACGGGACTTGTTTATTTTTTATTCTTTTTGTCATTTTTTGCTGATTAGGATTGTAATTTACAAGGTGAGATTAATCTAATACTCATCAGGTAATGGTTAAGGAAATTTCTCTTAAGAGGGTGTTTGGTAGCTTGAGAATTAAAAAGTGGAAAACTGATTCTGTTTGATGCTATTTTTTCACCATATGGGGGTAGGATTCTTTTTCTTTTTGATGCTAAATTAACCAATACGAAAGATAATAACACTGTTTATCGAAAAATTTACATAAAAGTACATAGCCAATATTCTTGACTAGTTTTCTATTTCAAATATAAGGCTTAGTAGCTATGCATGTCGCTTCTTTTTTAATTTCATTTACTATATTCTGATTCTTGTTTGACTGTTTGTAATATGATTCCTTGCATCCAGTGTGTGTATATATAAACTCTCAATTATTTGTTGTGTTTTTTTTTTTTTAATAAATCACAAGAACATATTAGATATTTTAAAAAATTTCTATGAAAGATTAAATGAACATCTTAACTATTTGTTCAGGTAATTTAATTCTTATATTTCTAAAATAACACCAATCATATTAATTAATATTTTTACAAAGTTATTCTCAATGAAAATATTTTCATCAATGTTGAAACCTAAGGACATCCTCAATAAGAAGATCGTCATCACATTTTAGAATAATAAAATACCTTGGATAAATTTTGACAAATGAGGTGGGGATATTTTGGAGAAGTTTTGCTAACCAAAACCCTTGTCCGAAAAAAAAAAAAAAAAAAAAAAAAAAAAAAAAAAAAATTTGCTGCTTTTTCAGAGTGGCCCACTGGCCACTCTGAAATTTAATTTTCGCCGTTGCCATTGTAACGGCACACCTTCTTTCTTTCTTTCTTTGTTTTTTTGTTAAATTATTATTATTATTATTGTTTTTATTATTTGCTATAAATATCACATTTTTCACAAATTTTAACACATTTCAATCTACTTTTAATTTATTTTTATAGTTTAATTTTTAAGCAATTATTTGTTTAATTTTCATTCTATAACTATCGTATTAATTAATTAGACGTACTATGTTTATTTTAATTACGTTTGGAAATGAAAATTTTAAGCAATTATTTGTTTAATTTGCATATTTAGGTATCTTCATTCATTTATAAATTTATAAATCAAATAAATAAAAAAATAATTAAAATATGGAGATAAAATGGTGGGTCCACAAAAAGTTGTGAAAAACTTAAAACTAATGGAAAGAATAAATTTTGTGATCGAGTAAGATAATAGATGATGATGTAGATGTTGAAGCTCACAAAAATCTGGGATAAAATCTTCAACTATTGAAGATGCCAATGAGCTATTATGACTCGTATACACGTACTTTTTGCAGAATGATCATTTTGTTATTTTAACCTTATCTTATATATATAAACTTTTCACGGGTAAGTTTTAAATTAATATAAGGAGAGAGTGGGGTAGGTACATTCGGTTCATCTGCAACAAATAGAAAATGAATCTAGTACCAAAAGCATGCGAAGTGCATGGGAGAATTTTAATATTTGGCGGAAAGGTTTCGCAAATTTTAATAATTTTGCCCATTGGGAAATGTTTCATTGTCGTAATAGCATTATTTGGTTGACTGGATCTAGATTTTGCTCGGAAATAACGACGCCGACTAAATTCGTGAGAATCGTGTTGGCTTTGTTAATTGTCACCTTGCTTTCTTTAATTCGTTGTTATAGCCATCGGATCCGACAGAGATGGCGGCAGCTTAGTTGAATCACATCAAGATTCTCGCCTTCGATCTCTTTCTTTAATCGTTCCCTTTAATTTCCCTGATCTTTTCCGGGCAAATTGGCTGCCATGGCGACGTTAGCTCGGCTCCGTCACTCCGCCGTCGCTGCCCTTTCCCGGAATTTGAGTCCTCCAACTCGTCAATTTTTCTCCGGCCGAAACCCCATTTTTTCCGGCGACTGTACTTCTTCCCAGAAGGCCGTTTCCAGTTTTTCTAAGCAATCAAACTTGCGTTCCCTGCTTGAATCTCGCGGCTTTTGCTCGGAAGCTGGAAGACGGAGTAGTTTCCGACCCGCGGCGGCTTTTCTGGCGGGGTGGAGATCCCGGGTCGCCGCCGATCCACAGTTCCCTTTCAAGGTGGCTATGGAGCAATTGGTGGGCGTTAGTGCCTGCGTCGCCGGAGACATGGCGACCCGGCCCAATTTCGGCCTCAACGAGCTGGATTTCGTCTTCTCCACTCTAATCGTCAGCTCAATTCTCAACTTTGTTCTAATGTATATCCTAGCGCCGACCCCATCGGCGACCCAATCTCTGCCGTCCATCTTCGCCAACTGTCCCCGGAGCCACATGTTCGAGCCGGGCAACTACGGCCCGTTCCTCCGCCTGGGCACGTTCGTTTACAAGGGAGCCCTATTCGCCGCCGTGGGGTTCTGCGCGGGGCTGGTGGGAACCGCCATCTCCAACGGGCTGGTGAAGATGAGGAAGGAGATGGATCCGGGGTTCGAGGCGCCGAACAAGCCGCCGCCGACGATCCTCAACGCGGCTACCTGGGCAATTCAGATGGGGGTTAGCAGTAATTTGAGGTACCAAGCGTTGAACGGGATCGAATTCTGGATGGCGAAGGCGGTTCCGCCATTGGTGTTTAGGAGCTCCGTGGTGGTGATACGATGTTTGAATAACGTTGTCGGAGGAATGTCGTTTGTTATGTTGGCTAGGCTCACGGGTTCTCAGAGTGTAGCGAATCAAGAAAAAGAAAAGGTAACTGCCCCCCAGTGATGATTTATTAGCCATGCTATGTTAGCTTAATTGCTTCGCTCTTCTTTCTATTTTTCGTTTTTCATCATGTACTGGTATTTATATCTCCCGAAATAATAAGGCTAATGTAATCAAGTCTAGTCTAAATGGATCATGATGGTTTCGCAACCTAAGACGGTTAGTTGGTTAGCCAACATTATTTGCGTCGATCGACTGCCTGGGTACCAGTATCCGGCCCATCATATCCCATTCAGGACTGTCATCCCACGTAAATTATTCTACGGATCCAGGTCTACCTTGCAGTCCAAATGTTGTTTGTTTGATTATTATTCGCAAACATAAATTATTTTATGTTCACGAACAAAGTATGAGCATAAACATGTGCATGTGTTTGTATATTTAGCGTTCATGAATGTGTTCACGAACATGTTCGCAAACGTTAATGAACACTTTCACAAACTTTAATGAATACTTAACAAATGAACACAAACAGATCGAAATTTTAAAAACCTTAACAAACAAATACGAACAACCTCTTGTTTATGTTCGGGATCGTTAACAACCCGTTAACAACCCTACACTACTAGAAATTATGGAATTTCTGACCACCTGAAAGTGATCTTAAATCAAGTTGAAAGCAAAAAGTGGTCAGAAATAGCAACAAAAGTTTTTCCGGATACCAAAGTGGTCGGAACAAGACTTTCGACTTGATTTAAGATCACTTCCAGGTGGTCGGAAATTTCATAATTTCCAGCTGTGCTACTTGAAATCTATACATTATTAGTATTTAAAGCATCATGTATTATAGAGATATATTGGAAAGGGAATGAACACAAAGAGATCGAAATTTCAAAAACCTTAACAAATAAATACGAACAATCACTCGTTTATGTTCGGGATCGTTAACAACCCTACTTGAAATCTATACATTGTTAGTATTTTAGAGATATATTGTAGAAAGTTTTTTTAGAAAGTTTTTTTTTTTTTTTTTTTTTTTTGTGTGTAAACCACGAGGTGGTCCGAGTTTTTCTCTGTCCATTTAACAGTTCAGGTCCACCCAACTAATCTCCGTTCGCTCTAGGAGGCACAGGAGCTGGCCCAAGAGGAGGTCACTTGTGAAAATCGAACCCGAGTTATCCCAACTATTCTTCTCCTACAAAAAGAGCTTATTTGCCACTTGAGCTACCCCATTGGGTTAACAAGATTTATATACCAAGTATAATTCCTTAAATATAAGATGAGCTTGGTATGCTCTACAAAGGTTGGGAAGTATGGAAACCAAATCCTCTATCCTCTATTTATAATACCAAAGTACAAAGTATATTTTGAAATAATCTCGTTGATAGGTCGTTTAACATGTAATTGTGAAATACCTAGATTTTGTTAACTCTCAAATTATAGTACTAGTAAACTAGTTGTATAAACAGATCATACAATTTTAGTTGTTTAGTTATAACTATTGTGTAGATTTAGTTTATTATTATTATTATTATTATTATTATTATTATTTTGAAAACTAATTTATTAGTTATTTGTGATATTAATTTAATCACTTAAAATTGGTTCTTAGTAAGTCTTGGATTTGATTCTTAAAATTTTTTACAAACCTTAACCTCAAGGACTAAGTAGCTGCTTTGCTAAAAATTAAACTTGGCGATTAAATATGCACCCTAATAACTCAGACGTTATGCCATGGAACCGTGTTCACCATTCATGGTGAACACGGTTCCAACGGTGTTAGTACACCGTTATCTTTTTTTTTTTTTTTTTTTTTTTTTTTTTTTTTTTTTTAATTACGTGACTGCCTACCCATTCACTTTGGAACCATGCCTACACATTCACTTTGGAACCATGGGATTATGAATTTTCTGTTATAAGATTATGAATTTTCTGTTATGAGATTATGAATTTTCAGTTATGAGATTATGAATTTTCTGTTATGCGATTATGAATTTTCTGTTATGAGATTATGAATTTTCATTACATTCATAATTTCGGACATTCATAAATTATGAATTCATGCATGCACATTCACTTTGGAACCATGCCTACATATTCCTGTCCGAAATCACGGACGTTCATAAATTATGAATCTATGCCTGCACATTCACTTTGGAACCATGCCTACACATTCACTTTGGAACCATGAGATTATGAATTTTCTGTTATAAGATTATGAATTTTCTGTTATGAGATTATGAATTTTCAGTTGTGAGATTATGAATTTTCTGTTATGCGATTATGAATTTTCTGTTATGAGATTATGAATTTTATGAAAATTCATAATCTCATAACAGAAAATTCATAATTTGATCAGTAACGCGCCGTTAACTCCACATCCGCAAATTTTTTTTTTTTTTTGCCTAAAAATGACGTCGTTTTGACTTGTGTTCACCATTCTCGGTGAACACGATTCCACGGCATAATTTGCGCTAATAACTAAAAGATTAAATTTAATTAGATCACAATAACTGAAGCCCAACATTTCTCCAAAATGAGATAGATGAATGAAGTCTTGTACACTTTACTATGTATCTATTTATCTGGTAATTTTGGGTACAAATGTACTATAGTACATAAATGTCCACACATGTGAAACACGAGGGATGGGCCGGCTCTACATGCCTCATCACTATAATATTTGTGGTGACATTATTGTTCATGTGCATGCCGTGCTCTTATCCGCTTAGCTGCCATTAAACGTGGGGTGACCATGTATACCATGGTCCATTTTCTAAAGTAGATCATTGCCATATGATATATTTTTAATGCTAAATTTTTAATTTTTGGAAATATATTATTTGATATATTACAACATAAAGAATCTTTTATACACAATTAATATACATTCAGTATATTAAAAATATATATTTATTCACAATTCACGTTGCAATATAAATCATAATCCACAATATAATTTGCCGCTTTAATTAGAAAAGGTGGGATTATCTTTGCTTCAAAGAGAAATTACACAATTTGTTAGAATTAAATATATCTCATGCATCATATAATATGTGATAACAAGATTATACTAACCTCCAGTCATTAGTTCTTGTATTGAGCGATCCGTCTGCTGTAGAGCTTTGTCTCTCACTTCTACTCAGCTCTCTCTAGATGGCGTATGAGGTATGTAATGTGAGCAATGAGAGGACTAGTGACCATTGTATAACCACTGGTCATCATTGTGGTTGTATGTCTTTAGGTTTGATCTCCTAAACTCTAACTAGACTCCTAATCATAATGTTAGTCTAGCTATTAGGTTATTAGTGTTGCACCACATATCAAATACTTAATATTATCATAGCTTATCCTAATGTTATTATAATAATAACAATTAGAGAAAACGTTACACAATTGTACAAAGTCGGATCCCAGGTGTGTTGCAGTGTTGGTGGGGGATGGGATATGATTATATCATTAAAACCTATTCACTCAATTTCACCACTTAATATCATGATAATGATACCTTTAATTTTATCTTTTCTGGTGAAATTCTTCGCCCCAAAAGTTACACACACTGACTCAACAGAATGATAAAGTGATAAATTATAGTGATTCAACAACTTTTTAAATGGAAGTAGTTCGTGTTGGGTACTCACAAGTAGCCAATCAGATTTTATGTAATTCTTACATTGTGACTATCAAGTTTTGATCATGCATTGTCCTTACCCATCATTTATTACCTGAATATTAACTGAGTTGTCCATGCACCTTTTATCCTTAATCATTCTCCAAGCTTATGATTTGCATTATGCCACAACCAGCTTTAATTTAATCTTATTTAAACAAAAGTTTTATATTTAACCCATTTTTCTCAAATTATTTATATTTGACCTTCTTTTTTTTTTTAACAACCGTATCCTCTTGCTAGAGTAGACAACAATTGGCGATGACAATTTGAGGGCCCTTTGCTTTCACTTGCTATTTGGTAAAAATAAAAAAATAAACGTCTAATAAGGTAAATTATTATTAAGGCAGGTAAGATGTTACTTTGATTTATGGAGTCCGGTCTTAATTAATCATTATATGGAAGTATGGAACGAAACCCCTTTAGTAAGAAGTTAGTGAAAAACAATTAATTATAAATTATACAATAACAGGGCATTTGGTTGGAGGTGGGGAATTATGTGGGAAAGGAATTGTAATTCCATGGGAGTTGAATTACTGGGAATAAAGTGAGAATTTAAATTCCAGTGTTTGGTTGATAGGAATAGAATTACTGGGAATTTCAATTCCAATGTTTGGTATACATGGGAATTGAAAGAGAATAAGTAGTATAAAGTCAAAAATGTCCATTATTGTTGTTAGACATTAATTTTAGGTTAAAAACAGAAGGGATAATTTTGACTCATCACTATCTTTTTTTCTCAGGAATTAAAATACCAGGGGGGACATTGGATTTTAATTCCATGAAAATGGGGGAATTGCAATTCCATGGAATTGCAATTCTCTCCAACCAAACTACGGAATTTAATGGCCTTTGAAATTAGGTAGGAATTAAGTGGGAAGGGAATTTAAAATCCCTCCAACCAAACGGCCTGTAATTGTTGCTTGTTTTTTTTTTTTTTTTTTGAAAATGTAATTGTTGCTTGTTTGATTTTGTATATACTTTTAATTATGAACGGTAAAATAATTCAAAATCAATTTAATTTTATTGCTTGCAAATAATTCTAGCCAAGTCCTACCTTGATCCCAATATATTGACATCCTAATGCTTGGACTTCAACTCATCATGTCTCACTTCATACTGCATCCCCTCAATAATTGCATCCTAACCCCCAAACTTCTAACGTTGTCCCACTTTGACATTTACACTTCAACCCCCTAACTCTACTTCTCTTCCAATTGAGACCCACGAAAACCCTGGTCATTGGCTCTGATTATTTCTCGGACCTAATTACCTCTTTGCCCTCCACCCCTAGCTCAATTGACCTTGGACTCATGCCACATGGCTCCATCCAATACTAAAAATGAACTTTATAATATATTTAAAATGAATATATTTCAAAATATAATGAATCTGTAGTAAGTAAAAATAAATTTGTATACCAGTAATCTATCTTGCAATGTGAATCATGATTCATAATATACGAAGTAATATATCAATTAATGCTTTTACACTTGAAATTTTGAACAAGTCTATCCATATACACATATTAATATAATCTAAAAACATAATAAGTGTCAATACAAGTTATATCATTGATTTTTGTCCCTTTTTTTATATGCTAATAAATATATACATTTTGCTTTAATTGTTGTACGTTCATTTGCATTGGACAAAATCACCCTTACACCGTTATAACACCGTTAGTTTTTAATATATCTACCAATCTTACCATACACCTAAATCTATCATATCTTTTTCCTATTTTTAATTATCATTTTATTAAAATTATCATATAACAATTAATTTAATTATAAATTATATTTTAATTAAATATTTATATGAATTTTAAATTTTTTATATATATATATATATATATATATATATATATATATATATAATATGTATGTATATTATTTGTGTATCCATATCAATATATCATATATGTGAGTGTCAGCTTAGTATTATTTGTAAATTATTATTATATATATATATATATATATATATATATATATATATTTTTTTTTTTTTTTTTTTTTTTTGTTTTGATCACTATATTATTCAAATATATGATAATTCAAAAGTATCATCACTTTAAGAAATTACAAAATATAATTTTAACTAATTTTTAAAATTTTGTTATTTACTAATATTTTAATATTGGGCATAAGTTTTCGTGCATCACGCGTACAAAATGCTAGTAATATAATATATCTTGTAATGTAAATCATAATTTAGTGTATAACAATTGCCGGTCAATGCTTTTGCAGCGGAGATTTTGAACAAGTCCATCCGCATACACATACTACAGTGACGTGCGGCCTCCTTAAAAATTGTAGAAGATCAGAGCAACCAATGATGACATGGTCCACTACGATTTGTGAAATTGATCAGGTAAAGTCAAGCGATCACATTGGTCAAACGAAAACATAAATAAATTTGGATCTTTAGTTATAAAAAATGGAGTTATTACTAATTCATCATACTGAAAAATGATACTGAGTATATTAAAACATGAAAAAAATGTTTAAAAGGTATATTTGAATCTGTCTTGTCTATGAAGATCATTTTTTTTCAAATTTTATATTATTTTATTCTTTTAGTATCGTAGTACTCTTATTTTTTTGATTAACAAAAAAATTTATATTCACTATTCAAAATTGTATTATGGATAAAGTACGTATTGTAATCAAAACTGACAAAAGATCACAAAATATTAAATCAACTTAGTTAGTTCATAATTGATTTGCTTTGGATGAGCCATACGGAGTACATACTAAAATCATTCAAACCATTCAGGGTGGATTCAGAGTTGAGCAATATAATGAACCATATCTTTAAATTAGTTAGTCATCTAATTATATATATATATATATATATATATATATATATATATATATATATATATATATATATATATATATAAAAGTTCCCGTGCGGTTGTACGATTAAATCCGAGTCATTGATCTTGCTTAAATCAACATCCAGGATTATTACCAAATTTTTTTATAAAAAAAACGCGGTGACAATTTGGTAAATTTTGCATCTAGGTCAAATTTAAGATGCGTGGGTTGTGTACTTAATGTGAGTAGTTGTTGAAACTTAAGGTGAATAATTTTTGTGCTTAAGGTGCGTGAATTTTGTGTTTAAGGTGCATGAGTTTTGTGCTTAATGTGAGTAGTTGTTAAAACTTAAAGGTGTGTAGTTTTCCTTCTTAATGTGCGTGATTTGTATGCTTAAGATGCGTCAGTTGTGTGAAACTTAAGGTGAACTATTTTAAAACTTTATGTGCGTGGTTTGTGTTCTTAAGGTGCTTTAATTTGTCGTGTGCTTAAACCTTAAGGTGCGTGATTTGTGTTTTTAAAGTGCTTTGTTTGTGTGCTTAAGGTGCGTTAACCGCACTATATATATATATATATATATATATATATATATATATATATATATATATATATAAGCGAATATTCAGGAAATATATGTAAATTTCCATGTGTCGTACGCTTTGTGAGACATAAAGGGATCAGTGAATGCTACGGCACGCCACTAGTGCAAACAAAGTCTAGTGAAGACTTGGCCCAATGACCTTATCTAAGTCATGGTATTGGTTAAAAATAGTTATATCATATATGAAGCAGTCAAGCAGGTCGGTCATGCACATTGTGACAATCTATCGAGATTATATAATTACAGTTAACATTATTTATATTAAATTTACTTATAAATATATAATATGTTAATTGTAAGTAAATAATCTGAACTAAATGGACCTTGATCCAAAGTATAATTTACTACAATTAAGCTCATGCTCCTATCATCATTTTATTAAATAAATAAAATAATTATTCTTAAATCTACTCTTTTATTTTTAAAAATCCTTTAATTTTCATCTTCAACGTATGATGTTGTATTCTGATGACAATGATAACTTGCACATGGAAAATAGAGAATCAATCATATGGGTGATCACATTCAATCCAGCAGAGACCCCATAGCTCGTGCTATTCTTGAGAACACTTAAGAATTCAGATAAGTGATAACCAGGCCAGTAGTAGTACATTCTTTTGGTGAAAAATCAAGTAAAACGCAAGCAAGGTAACATTTTTCTGTATCCGAAATGTATTTTAGGTGAAATATATATTGTAACTCTAGTACGTAGTTAACAAACAATTAAGAAATTCTCCTTAGGATTGGGGTTCAGCCTAGAAGAAGAATTAAGAAAGTCAATAAGCAACTCTTACAAAGAGTCAAACTTAGAATATTGTGATCATCAAATTAATTATTCGACTAATTTGGTTGGGATTGTTTAATTAATTAGTAAAATTCTTGTTGAAGGCAACACATCCAACAAATTCAAAAAACAAAATACAGAGTATAATTTTTATTTTATTTTTTACATGAATTAAACATGTTCCCACGTAAAAAGTGAGTATTAATGTGTGCGTATATATATAGTTGCGTTCAAATGAGAATCATACTTTTCATGCGAATTTGCGAACTTATGAAGAAATGCACAATAAGTTCTACGTGAATGCACAACAACTACTCATAGGCATGCCGATGTGTTCAGTGCATTCGTGTAGTAATTTCGATGCATTTATGTAGTAGTTGTGGTACATTCGTGTATTAGTTGCGGAGGTGGAGTAGTTGCTGTGCATTCATGTAGTTAGCATGGAAAGAGTGGTTCGCACATGAAACAACCCTATATATATATATATATATATATATATATATATATATATATATATATATATATATATATATATATATATATAATGAATGTTAATTCGTGTATTTTTTGTTTGTTCATTGATTGAACATACAAAATAATAGTGTAAATATTCTTGGGTATTCGTATTTATATATGGCATTGTACAATTTGAGATGTAGTTGCTCGAGAAATAAGGACCACCGGTCGAAGACCCCCAAGCTTACAAGCAGTCTATCAAGAGAATTGGGAAAAAGTATTCATTTTCCTTATGAGTGTCTAGCGAGATATATATATATAGGAGATATGGGAGGAACACATGCCAGGGGGCCAACATGTACGCCTCATGTTATTCATGCATTGGGTAGACCGAGGATCCAAGAGATGCGTTCACGTGTGATGGGATACCTGATTAACCAGTAGCTATCGGGCTCGGATCAAGTGTTACTGTTAGCGTATGTCTTTAAGGGCTCATCTCAAGTGCTCGGGGCGAACTTAAGCGCTCAAGTCGGGATCAAGCACTACAAATTAAGAGCACGAGTTCATTAAGCTGATAAGGGGAGCAATCATCAAGTCGGGTCAGTAAGTATTCTCCCGATGTCGAATCAGGTCGGATAAAGGATCCTTACCAAGTGGATAGTCACGTCCGATCAGGTCTTTAGTGCATACGAATCAACATCCTATCAAAATATTAGTTTTTATGAGAATTTAAATCCAGAACTTTCTCATAAATTAAAAAATATTTTTAAAAAAATACTCAGTAAAAATTGGAAAAAGAAAACAGTCAAATTAAGCATACACCGACTCATCTGGCTTCCCTTACCTGTCTGTCAGTTTTTTATTTTTATTCCTAACATGCTTTTGCCTCCTTTAACTCGGGAAATTCTTCTTCTACCATCTCTCTCTCCCCCTGCAAGCTTCTCACAGATCCAATCTACCGCACACTCCGGTCAGTACGCATACTCCAAGGAAAGCTTTCATCTCTGAAATTCTTCGCAGTCGTAATGTTGGACTAACTATACTGATGCATAAATAGAGATGAATCGGAGCTTCCGGAACTCAACGATTGGCGGCGGGAAGAATTTCCCGTTGCCGTCGCAGCACCGCCGTGGCTTTAGTCTCAATGGAGCCTCCAACAAGGAATCCTTCGATGATCCATTGGATCTATTCTCCAAAGGCCGCCGCAGCGTCTCCGCCGCCTCCTCCGACGAGTCAGACGGTACCTTCCTTCGCTCTTATGTGTGTTTGGATATGTATGTATGTATGTATGTATGTATGTATGTATGTATGTAGTATAGATACTTAACCGCCGCGCTGCATAATGGTTGTGGTTGGTAAAACTTACGGTATTTATTACGATATATATGATTTATGATGTATTGAACATTTGAACTTCCAACTGTCAAGTTACTTGTGGATTGGATACCATGGCTCTGGCTCGTGTTGCAATTATTATGCGTCCACACAAATGTTCATCAGTTATGTGAATTAAATATTTTGTAAAATAAATGCCAATCATAATGTTTGAAGCAGATGCTTAATGGAGTTCATGTGCACAGAAGCTTCACTATAAAGAGTGTTTGGATGATTAGCTTATATATGCTTAGAAGTGTATTACAACCTGCTTTTAAACTAACCTTTGACAAACTTGTAAAAGTGTATTATTTAGTCTATGAAATCAGATTTAAATAAACTGTTCCAAATACAATAAGCTAAAAACAGTGGCTAAGGGCTAAGACTAAATAATTTTATTTGCTAAATTAGTACAGAGCAGTTCAATCTTGAGACTTTTGACTGCTGAATTTCGTGAGCAAACAGTAATGATCCTTTTTTTTTTGGATGTCTTTGATTGCTTTACAAGAACAGTTTCGGTTAAACTAGGGAGGCTTTCACTTGGATCTGCAATGGTGGGGAAGAATGGATTGGAGGATCTGTTCTCATCTTCTGATGAAGGAAAACATGATTATGATTGGTAAGTGTTGAAGATCCCCTTCTTTAACTGCATCTTTGCAGCATTGACTGAAGGACCTTAAATGCTGTGGTAGCATGCTGTAGAGTTGTGGTTAGTTCACTCACTTCACTGGATCATGATTGAAGTAACTTTAAAAAAAAATTAATTCCATTCTTGGTATAAAGAAAACTGAGCTATAAATTGCTCAAATGTTTGAAACCTTTGCACGCCATAGGATAATGGCTAATACCACTGGCAGTTTCCGACCTAATAATAATAGGAGTCTCTTTTTCTGGTTGTCTGTGCTGTTCATTTTCATTGACATGCGTTACACTTTTCTTGAATCTCTTGTAGTCTTGTATGAGAAAAATAATTATATTCTTCAATATTTACCTTTTTTGTAATGTCAGTTGTATCTATAACACTTACATTTTCATGTCAATAGGCTTCTAACTCCTCCAGGCACTCCACTTGTTCCTTCATCCAATGGAAATGAATCTCAACCAGCACAAGTTGCCCAGACTCCAAGAGGACGCCCTTTGGGCAGATCAGTCTCTGCAGCTAAGGCCTCAAGGGTAAGTTTACTGAAAATGGAGCATTGATTGTTTGCCTCATAAACAAATTTATTAACACATCATTTCTACAAATTATTTCATTCCAGCTTTCTGTGTCTCAGTCTGAGAACAGCCATCCAGTAAGACCAACTCGCAGCAACTCTGTAACCCGTCAGTCTATCTCTAGTTCCCAGTACAACACTTACTCAAATAAATCAAGTAATATTCTAAACACAAGTTCTTCTTCAGTTTCATCCTATATCAGACCCTCTACTCCCACGAATCACTCTTCATCTTCTGCAAGATCCTCTACTCGCTCTTCATCTTCTGCAAGACCTTCCACCCCCACTTCCCGGCCAACACTGTCAAGACCTTCAACTCCTTCAAGAACACAACCATCCCTTAGCACAGCTTCTAGACCATCCCAAAACTCAAGACCTTCCACACCAAGCTCTAGGCCTCAGATTTCTGCACCATTGAATTCCCCTGCTCCTCGGTCTATATCAAGACCATCAACACCTACTCGTAGAAATTCCATGCCTTCAATTTCTCCAGCATCCTCGGGGCGCTCTGTCAGCAATGGGCGAACTGTGGCTTCTCGCCCAAGCTCCCCTGGACGAGCTGTTGCCTCAGTATCTCGTCCAAGCTCCCCTGGGAGAACTGCAGGTGCAGTATCTCGCCCAAGCTCCCCTGGTCCACCAGTTCGACGAACACCTCAACCAATAGTTCCCCCAGACTTTTCACTTGAAACGCCTTCAAATTTGCGAACTTCACTGCCAGACAGGCCACTGTCAGCTGGTAGGTCCAGACCTGGTGCCCCAGCCTCTGTCAAGGGGGGTATGGAAATTCCAAATGGTGGAAATTTGCAAAGGAGGCACTCATCACCTATTGTAAGCAGGGGAAGACTCACAGAACCTTCTGGAAGAGGGCAAGTGCTTGCAAATGGGCATGTTACAGATGCATCTGACTCTGGCAGAGCTTCGCGTGCCTCACAGTTGCCTCTGAGGAAACCCGTAAGGACACATACAGATAGTGCAGGATTTGGGGGGACCATCTCAAAGAAATCTCTTGACATGGCTATTAGGCATATGGTAAGCACAACCTTTGTTTTTTGCAATTTTGGTTATATTCACTAATCACTAGTATTGCATATTTGCATCTGGTATTTGTGTCCTCCTCTTATATACCTACCTTTCATAATTAGGTTTGATTAGATATGGTAGAATTTCTAGTCATGTATTCAGAATCTCTAAATTATTCTGGTAAATTCATCTTTGCATTAGTTAATGATTTTGCCATCACCAAAGATATTTCATTCCAATAACCAGATTTTCTGTTACCCAAAAAAAAAAAGATGTTTAATTATTTATATGATTGGATGAAGAGAACCTTCTTTTTACCAAATATAATTAACCAGTGGATATTGTTTGTGTTTTTCAGGATATAAGAAATGGGCCAAATGGTGTACGCCCAGTCTCAGGCTCAACACTCTTCCCCCATAGCATTCGATCTAATGGTGCTAAAAGCCAGCAGAACCATGGGTCAAGCTCCCCGGCATCTCTGAGTGGAAGTATGAATTACAGCAACGGCGGCTGTATGTTAGAAAAAGGAAATTATTTCAGCCGGTCTGCAAGCGAAGAGGACAGATATCAACGACCTTCAGCAAGAGTTACAGATGTTGACATCTATGAGAGCTCTCGTTATGACATGCTTCTACTGAAAGAGGATGCGAAGAACACTAGCTGGTTGCACAGCATTGACGACAAGTCTGATGCCATGTTTGACAATGGTTTTGAACAACTCCCTGAACCATTCGACCCTTTATTATAATGCATGCTTACGGAGTAGTAATTATTTTTAATAGTATTTTTCAAGATTTGTTTATTTAGTACAGAAGTTGCCTAAATAAGAAAGAAAAAAAAAAAAAAACGACACGTCACCTGGGTGCAATGTATTCAAAGTACACCATCCAATAATCAGCATGTGAACATGCCCAGTTGCCCACCCAAATCAATTTCCATCATCTGCACTCTTTTTTTTTTTTTTTTGAAAACGTCATCTGCACTCTTAGGCACTAGCTCTTTCACATCTTCTTTTAATCTTTTATGGTCTGAAGTTTTTTTTTTTTTTTTTTTTTTTTTTTTTTTTTTTTTTTAAGGGAGAGTTCTTGACCCATAATATTAATATTAAGTAACTTTTAATAAAATTGTCACTAAATTTTAAATAATATTTTAACTTTATAACTTTGAAATATATTATTTAAATTTAATAACTAAATAAATTTAATAATTTATTTAAAATCTTCAAATATACATTTATTATATAAATTTCCAAACATGCTTCTATTAAAAGAGGATGTGAAGAACTGGTTGCACAACATTGACAACAAGTCTGATGCCATAATAGATACAAACAATAGTTCTGGAAATGATATTGTCATAATTTGTCCGAATAAAAAATTAAGTTACTAATTTTGAATTAAATTTTAATTTTAATTAAACAATCATCACTGTTTGTTAAAAACTAAAAGGACTATCAAGATTGACTTTTACTTTCCTGTTTCTGTACACCCAAAGAATTCTGAAGTGTTTTGGTGATCATGAATCGATTGAGAGTATAAAGTTTGTAGTTCGTTTTTTAGTTAAATAATAATAATAATTATATCCAATTCAAATATAGTGAAAAGTCATCTTGACCTAGATCCTTTGATTCCTTTCAATGGTTCCAATCTTAAGAATCCTCGTTGAATAGTTCAAAAATGTAACTTTGCGAGAAACCATACCAGTCAAGAAACATGTTTTAAGAGCGTGAATGTTCACACCGGCTTCACGTTCTGCAGAAACTTCCAAAAGCTCTATTTTATATATATTTTTTTAACCTTTGCACTTTGCAGCCTGTTAAAGCAGAGCGAAATAGATGACCCAAATCCAGCAAAGTCTTTCTAAATCAAACACCGTCGTGTTCCGTACTAATTCAACCCGTTTTGGGGAGGGCTCTGGTTCGTATCTCATTTTTATCCTGCGATTCTAGCGTATTGCTAGTTGCTAATCCTCGTACTAGCTGGTTTTGCACTTTTGCTTACCTAATCAAAGGAAAAGGTTTCCAATTTTGGGATTTTAATTGCTCTTGTGTTTCCACTTTTGTCTTCTTTTGGTGAATTAGATGTATTCGAGATCTGGGTTCAAGTTCATTTGACGGACTGGAAAGTCGAAATCTTTAGATTAGTTGACTGTTTATGATTTCAGGCTGCCATGTTCCTTGTACTTCTTAGATGAGCTTTTAAAAAAAAAAAAAAAAAGGCTTTTTTCTTTGATTTGAGGGGTGGGGGGTTTCGATTTCATTTGTTGAATTGTGCTGGAATTTTGATGTTTATGCTAACTTTCCTATGTTTTCCAGGTTTCATTAAGGGGGAATTGAACTGTGCTAGAGAGAATTCTGTATCTGTGCTAGAGAATGGGGCATATCTTAGCCAAGTTATGTTTTGTACCCAAGGTTTGTCTTCTTATCCACTTTTTGCTTGAATTAGAGATTCTAACTTTCTTGTTTTTGCTTCTTGTCTAAATTTGGTGGCGTGGTTCGTCATTCTGCCACGTTGCTTTTCTTGGCTTCAACTGTAGGTCTTACTTCTTAGCTTAGGTTATTTTATCTTAGCCTCCTCCAAGCTAGCTCTACTTGGAAGTGGTAAGCATGGATCGAAGTTAAAAGAAAAAACGGAAAATCTATTAAATAAATCACGTGTGTGCATTTTAACACATCTACTTATTGAAGGCGGCATTAGTTGAAGATTTTAAGGCTGTTGTCGGTATTTATTAACTGATTATAGTTTAAATGATCTGATACTCGATAAGTTCCCTTGCCTTGGTATGGTGTTACTTGTGCACGTATCTGTGTGCAAACGGCCTATTAACGTCGAATTTATGATGATCCCATCTTTAAATTCCTTCCTTATGGCATGAGCTATTCCTGAAGTCGGAGGACATAATTTTGATTTTATCATTGAGAGGTCGGGGTCTAGGGTTAAATAAATTGTTCAGCTTTGCTGCTAATTTTAGATGGTCTGCGTGGACATGATCCCACTCGGTGGATTTTTGAACAAGTAGGAATGATTTGCCAATGATTATACTTTGAAACTTGAAAGAATTTTTGCGTTTTAGGGATCATACCAATTAATGTGCTACCACGTGCTGTTCCTAAGTTTGATCTTCTCGGAGCCTTATTAGGAAAGTAAAGTCCAGTTCTTTAATGTTCTTTTTTGTTTTCATGCTTTAGGGTGCTTAATGATTAAGCCAGAGAAGTAGTTTGGGGGCGGGGCTTGAGCACATGAAGAACCGAGGAATATGCTAATATGACATAGAAACTTGATATTTTGGGGTTACAACCTTGTAGTCGGTATTTCATGGCCCATTTTTCCAGTAGCTCTAGTCGTTGTATCATACTTAAACCTGTGCTCATCATGGGCCCATTAATCATTCTGAACACTTGATATTATAGAACTATACAGAAAGAAAGTAGATTTCCATCGCAACATGGAAGTTCTAATCCATGAACACTTTGATTAATTACTGTTGTTCAAAACTGTCAATCTTGGCCTATGGAAGTATGATGAATGCTTTTAGATTACCTTAGGGAATGTTAGATTGCTGAGAATGTTATATTACTGGGAATGTTAGATTCTTGTGTTTGGTTTAAAACTAAAGTATGTAAATAAGGCAACGGTAATAAGATAAATTGATTAAAATGTCAAAAGCCCAAAATTAGTAATAAGATGAGGGAATGTGAGATTACCTAGAAATTGGAGGGTATCTCATATTCCCTTCCAATAGCTAAAAACTATATCTTGAGGTTATGTGACATTCCCTGGGATTCTGGGAAAATTACACAATCTGAACCAAACATGCGAATCTTATATTCCCAAGCAAATATAACCTTAGTTATCTTATATAACTTGAACCAAACACCCGGGTTACTAATTGATGTACCGACGGTATATCAGTTAACCCCAAAGACGCATCATCAAAAAGCAATTACAAAATGAAGGAAGCCTTTTTTTTGTTTTTTCAAATAAATCATATGCTTTAATTGGAATATATTTATTACTTTTTTTATTCACTCTAACCTACTAGAAGTATCTATTCAACATAATGCCAACCCTGATTGGGATGGTGGTCGGACTTGAAACCTTCCTTATGGAAGATAATAGTGATGTCATCAGACAACAAGGTACTTGGTAATTGGTTTAAACTTAACATCCTCTTTGTGAATTTTGACTTCAAGTTTATTGAAGGATGTTGGTGATCCATGATTTTCTTTGACATTGACGAGAATAGAAGAGAAGCAGTGACCATGCCAGACAGTTTCCAAAACCTTAATTACAAAAAAATGCAAAGTTTGCAAACAAGGCTGTAGACTGTAGTGCTTCAACCACTATCGCAGTTATGCATATTTGTAATTTTGTATTCATAATTATCGAAAGGGATCCTCCAAAAAAAATTCTTTAGACACATTTATATGTAGGAGTTTCAAAATTAAGATTAGAAGCCGAGTCTTTTGTCCAGAAAGTTGGTATTTTGATTGATCTTGAACTATGACTTCAGGTTTTACTTTTAGCGTAATTTCTTATTGGTTTTAATACTTGGTCAATAACAAAGTATAGAAATTGCAGCAACGGTCCAAGAATGATGGGGATGACTCTGACCATCACGTTGAATTTGCTGGAGGAAACGTACACCTCATCACTACAAAAGAAAGTTGGGAGCAAAAGCTGGAAGAAGCAAGAAGAGACGGCAAAACAGTAAGTATCATTGGTCCTCCCTCACACATAGGCATAATTTCAGTAAAGTCACTTAATTGTAAGGATACTGAGCTATAGTAGGCTGATTTGAAAATTTTAAAAAGTTGCTTCAAAATTTGTGCTTAACTCGACTTGTCTAAAAAAAAGTAAGTAATAAATGAAAAATACTGGTTTAGGCTGTTTAGCACATAATACACTGTCATTTTATATACTGACCTCTAAATCTATACACTGGCTTTTTTTTTTTTTTTTTTTTACAAATCTATGACTTATATTTGAACCCTAAACATTATTATGCAAACAAAATTATAAAAGTTGTAGCAGCAAAAATCAGACATACCCAAAAAAATTCAGTGTAAAAGTGTAAAACACTAAGGGCCCATTTGAAAAGACAGAAAATGTTTTCTAAAAACATTTTCATTTTTCGAGTGTTCGGTTGAAAGTCAAAGAACAATCTTTAAGTCAGAAAATTATATATATATTTTATATTTGGTTCATTTTTAAAAACATGAACATAAATATATTACAAAGTTATTTCTTAAAAAATATTGATTAGTTTAATGGTAATAATAATAATTATTTATATTAAGATTAAATTATAAATTAAAATTTATAATAGTTGTAAAGATTAATAATAATTATAATAAAAAGATGTAAATAAATATCTTTTAACTTGTAACTTATTATAATAAAAATAAATATAATACTTCTAAACTAAGAAATTGAAGAAAAAATTTTCTTTTTTTGGGATGTGGGCTGGACTAGACCATGATGTTTGGCTCAGCCGGCACCAACCATATTTAATCGGACATAAATGTAATAAGTCTGAACTAAAGAAATTGAAGAAAAAAACTTAAAATGTTTTGTAGTCTTTTGGGTTATGGGCTAGGCCTAGCCAAGATTTTTATTGTTTGGCCAAGCCCAAGCAAACTAATATTTTAACTGGATTAGCCAAATCCAGTTCAAATAATAACCACTCATAGGGAGCGTGTAGATAAGAATCTCAAAAATGTCTTCTGAGTAAAAATCTTGAAAGACAAATCCCACCAAAATGGGTTATTTTTGGACTAGAATGAGTATTTTCCGTTGACTTCATTCTCCGTTGATAGCCAAACACTGGAA